GCCACTTCAGCATGAGTTCGATTCCCGCCTGCCCCGGAGGTGACCACATGGCGTGGCAGACCTCTCCTGACCCGCCCGCTGCTCCCCTCAGCAGTGCACTTCCTCGATCTGCCTATTCTGTTCCCCACCCTGTCTCTGGTGAAGCCTCTCACTGTCCCTGGATCTCTGGCCTGTACCCCAGCTCTTTATAAACAAATAAATAAATCTTAAAAAAAAAAAAAACTGCCTTGAAATCACTAATCAGAAGGGAATGAGAGACTGAAGTTATGCTAATAGCCACCAAAAATTTATGCAGTTTCACAGGAAGTGGCTGACATTATATCTCTGCTGTGTAGAGATAATCAAGAGAAAAAAACTCTAACTAAACTAATGCCTATTTGTAAAGGAGAAAGAAAAATCCTAATCCAAAGACAGATCTGTACTATTCCTTTTCCATTTTTGGCCAGAGGACCTGCAGGGAGAGTAGTAGGCAGCTCTCTGATACAGAAGTATGGCTACTATTTGGGTCCCTTCCTGATCCCCTCTTTCCTACCCCTCATTCTCCCAGGGATAGTCACTGTCCTGAATTTTGCATTTTTAATTACCTTTCTTTTATTTATAGTGTCATCATTTGTTTTGTTTTCAACAGTATACTGCTTAGTATTGCATACTTTTAAGTTTATAGGCATGACATCATTATGTATTCTTCTACAATGGCTCTTTTTGCATAACATGTTAAAATTCAAGGATACATGTAACTATAATTCATAGAGGGTAAAGAATATGTCACAAGTGATGTATCCGTTTTGTTGATAAAAAGATTTGGCTACTGCAAACAATAATGCCTTGGAAATTCTTGTGCCTGGTGGATTTGGTTTCTCAAAGATGTTTTATATAGGAATGGAAAAGGTGGGCCATATGGAGTCTGTGCATCAATTTTACACGGTGATTCTAAACTGTTTTACAATGAAGCTTTTCCCAAGCTAGTTTGTTCAAATGCCCTATGACTGGCAGGAATACTAAGACATCAAATCACTTCTATTATTTTAGAATATTAATATTCACATTTAGCATCTCTCTCCACCTACCCCACCACACCATTCACAGTGGTAGTTAGTAAACAAGTTGCCAGAAAGCAACTTGTTCTTCCCTTGCTTTAGCCGCCTCTGACTTTGAATTTGGCTTCACATAAACACACAGATACACATGAGATGATCAGGCCATTCTGTAAGAATTTGGCCTTTCATTTAGTAAATAAAACAAGAAGAAAATCTAAATGACAAGATGGGTATGATATCCTAGTCTTTTGCTTCCTCCTTCCCTCCTTTTTTCTCTTTCTTTCCTATTGTTACATGTTTGGTAAAGCACCAACTATCAGGGCTTCCGTGGAGGCACAGGGGTTTAAGTCTCAGTGCTATCAAACTATCACTAGCCACTGTGTCATGAGTTTGATCCCTGGCCAGGGAGTTAACCAACATGGCACAGAAGACTTCTGTCTTGCCCACTGATCCTCTCAGCAGTGTATTTAAGTAGATCTGCCTGTTCTGCTCCTTACTCTGTCTCTGGTGAATACTCTCTCCCCCTGTACCTCTGACCTGCACCCCAGCTCTTGTATGCATACATAAAAATGAATCTTTAACTTTTTTAAAAATAAAAAAATATAACCAACTATATTTGGGAAAGTTACACAGAGGATAATATTGCTAAGAATGAAGTATCCGTTATAGTAAAATCAGATTACTTATGATTAGCTAGGGTATTAGGTCACCGATAGAAAGGAGGAGAGGGATGAGAAAAAGCATCAACTGAGTGTTTTCTGTGTGCTCTGTAAAGTCCTAAATGTTTTAGAATTAGTTCACTGGCAAACTATTAAGAAAACCCTTTAAATCTCAATTTTGATTCATGTCACCTAACTAGGGACCCATGTTCTTTCACTCAGTCTTTCTCCTGCTGGCTAACCATTGTGTCCAAGCTAACTAGATTTTAATGTCTCCAACCACAAAATCAGGGTAAAAGACAACCCTGGTCCTGGTGACAGGGGCATTCAAAGAATCAAAACTGACATCTATGAGGACGTGTGGCATGAACTCTTCTTGGCCACCACCCAGTTTTCTTCCTTGCTCCCTATACACTGAAACCTAATATCACAGACACATGGTTCAGCTTGCAAATGCCTGAAATCTGAACTTGTCTAATGGAATATAAATCTGCCAGATACCTGCATGAGCAGAGTGCAGAATAACAAACAGGGCTTCTGGCAGTTTTAATAGAGGGTTTGAACAAACATACACCTCTCCTCCTCCCTTGCTCCCATCTTCTAGCTATAAAAGCAGAAAAAAAAAAGTGGTATTGACAGTATCAGTGGCTTTATGATATCGTTCTTTTTAGGTCTAAAGGATGAGATTAAATATGAACCTTCTCCAGGCTCTGTAAGGCATGATAGAAGATGTAAAAATTCCCCTGTATTTCAGAGGGGCTGTTACACTCTCACATTCTGATTATGAGCATGTAAACAATTCATAAATCCCTCCAAGATCCTGCATCACTTTGGTAAACTTTTCTTCACAGTACCATAGTACTCTAAATAAGAGGGCTGCTTCCTTAAGTTAAACGAAGCTAGAGAATGCTTACATTAGGGCTTTCTTTGGGAAAAACCACCACATGCTTCCTGGGAGGGTTCTAACAATCATACCCCTGGACAGGAAATGGAATTTCTCTGCAAACAGAATGAATGGGATTTTCAAAAAAAAAGTACTTTCCTTTCCTGTTTAGTTAAGCTGTAAGACTTGACAGAGCGAGTCTGGAGCTTCTCTTTCATTGTTCTTCTAAGGAGGCAAATCCTACAGCAGCACTCTAGGTAAGAGTCTGCTGGGTCCAATTCACCTGGCAGTTAGCTTGGCAGGAAGCCTGTAAACAAAGTTTCTTGACCACACATCATAGAGTACAGACCCTAATGGATGCATACCCAGCAGACACTCCCACTGTTTTTACTTACTGGCAGAAGCCTGAGTTGGTTTGCATGTTCACTGTACCACAAGTTCAGGGAGTGTGGCACTTCCTTACCACTAGAGGGTTAGTGTGAATTTTAGCCAGTCCAGGAAATTCCTTTCTCCAGGTCAGTGGTTGTTAGTTTTAGGCATATGATCCAGTTTTAGTCAATGAGTTTTGGTGTGGGAATCTACTGGGAGAGTGGCTGGGAAAGGTCTTTAATTAAATTAATTAAACTAATTAAAATACCAATTCATTCAGCTAGAGGCTGAGGAAATTCATTTGTAGATGCCTAAGAAATGGGACAGAAATTTGGCAATCATGAGGAGACAAGTTTAAGGACCAAGCCATTAATTAAGGAAGGTAGAACAGAAAGATGAAGAACACCACAGTCCCTGATACATCACTGGCTCATTACAGAGTCTACTTCTGTGCTTCTAATTACATGAGAATAAAGAGTCAGCTTTTAAAATGACCTGCAGCTGGTTGTTGAGCCAGAAATGTTCTATTTGTCCTTGAAGAGCCACTATGCAGCTTTCCTGCTCTTTACCCTGGACGCTGATCTATAGACCACATCAGCAGACCCCTTGTCTTCTGATTTCCACAGAGTTTGGCTAGTGGGGAGCAGCAGACTAGAGGGAGGAGAGTGAGAGGCAGGCCATGTATTCTACTAGCTTGCCTATCACTGCCAATTTAGGTTGGTTCTGGCCCTTGACTGAAGGTTACTGCTTATCTTAACAAGGTGCCTTTCTCTCTAGTTCCATCCATGTTCTAGTAATGGCTCCCTCCCTTTCTGGACCCAGAAGTTATTACTCAACAGCTCTGCTGATACACATCCCTTTATTACATTTTTTTAAAAAAGATTTATTTATTTGTGCATACAGAACTGGGGTACAGGCCAGAGGCTCAGGGGCGGTGAGAGGCTTCACCAGAGACAGAGTGGGAAGCAGAACAGGCAGATCAATGAAGTACACTGTTGAGGGGAGCAGCGGGCGGGTCAGGAGAGGTCTGCCAAGTCATGTGGTCACCTCCGGGGCAGGCGGGAATCGAACTCATGTGGAAGTGGTTTTAGCTTCTCAGTACTGTGCTTTAATCTGCTGTGCCACCAGGGAGGGCTCCCTTTATCACATTTTAATCCCACACTTTTGCAAGTAGTCCCTTTGTAACGCCCTCCTTGAACAATTCTAATCTGGGTATACAGTTTCTTGTTGAGAACCTGATTGATCCTATTACTGTAGTGGAATGCAGCCTAAGTAAAGCTAGATTCTAGTTCTTAAAACCCAGAAACATCACAATTCCAGAACATCAGGAAATTCCAGAACCACTTCCCATTCCAGTGTCTAATGAAGTTAGTGTGTCTGTGGGTGGCGGGAGGTAGCGGTTGGAATTGGGAGGAGGAGATAATGGCACATGCATTATGTGTGTGTTTCTGGGTAGCAGTAAAGGTGATGAGATCACAACTAAATAACCCTTAACAATATATCATGTATACATGTATATTTACATACATCTTTACATACAATAACCACATGATGTAAGTCTTGGTTTTCATTGTATAGATGGGGTGAACTAGGAATGGAAACAGTATCTACTAACTTAGATTCATTGGTTTTTCTCATAGGGCTTGTCCCTTCCTCTACAAAACAAACCTAGGAAAGCAGGTTGGATCCAAAAAGGAAGGGATGTAGCAGGGTGATTTGCGGTTTATGCTGCCCTTATCCTCATCTAAGATTCTTCTGAAATTCCTTTAACATCTAAGAAAAACCACATATGCTTAAAAACCCAACCCAACAGCTTGCAGTAGCAGGGGATTCCAGAATAAATAGTGAAATTGGCAGGACACACAGTGTCCTTCCTCTCAGTGGGTCACGTGAGGACATTGCCTAACATCCGTCATGTGTGTGTTTGGGAATATACAATATTTATGTTTCCTCCAATCCTTGGATACTTCTTTTACGTGCCAAAAAAAAAAAAAATTGCTGTGACCTACCTTCTTCTGATCTAAAAATGTCATCAAAATCTGGTCACAAAGACTTCATAATATTTATTAAGTGGAGGAGACCTGAGAATCCTCCCAGCCGCCTGAAAGAATGGCTGAGATGAAATTATGCCAAGTACTGAGTAAATGGGAGGGGTTTTTTAGTGAAAACCATAAGCTATGCTGTGGCCACATTTTCACAATACCTCAGGGGTGGGAGTGTAGTCCCTTTGTGTAGACAGGCTGGGAGGCTATTTCCCATTTTGTTCAGGGGAAACACAGCCCAGATTTAAAAGTCAAAACCTAGTCATGAGACTCACTGGAGTCAAACTCTGGCATCAGTTCCAACTGCTTCTAGGAGCTGTGCCTTCACTCTGACATCACCTAGAACATGCCTACATGAAAATAGAAAGCAAACTCCAGTACCCTACAGAACTGCAGATGTCACCCTATGTGACATCTCAGGAAACTTTTTCCTAAGCACATGAAGGTGACATTATTACCGCCAGGGTAATAATTACTATAGTGAAATTACTCATTTTATAACCAATAACCAAATTATTGGTGAAAACAGCTGGTTCTTACTAATGCAAAAAGATGTTCAAGACTTGGGACTGGGTAGACAGAGAAAGACAACGTCTATATGGCATCTAAAAAAAGCTAAACTCAGAGAAACAGAGTGTGTGGTTATCAGACGAGATCGGGCGCGTTCAGGGTGGTATGGCCGTAGACTATTATCAGAAGGTAGAAGATGGAGGGATTGAGGACATGTTGGTCAAACTTCCAATTAAAAGATTAATAACGTAAGAATTAAATTATTACAGGTATCTAATGTGGTAATATTGGGTTGTTGTAAAAGTCATGATGCATTTTTGGAAAGAAAATAGAAAAAATGCCATGACTTTTCCAATAGCCTAATACTATTACGATGCAGCTAACAATTGTGATTATAGCTAGTAACATGTATTACTAGCTTGAACAGTATGAACACACACTTGAATATTGCTGAGAGATCTTAAGTATTCTTGCCATAAAAACAAAACAGCAATTATGTGAAGGGGTACAGGTATTAGCTAATACCAACAGGTACATTTTAAACTTACATGCCAATTGTATCGCAATAAAGATGGGAGCAAAAAGGAAACAGTGATGATTAAGTACAACGTAATTGCCCAGTAAATGTTACAATTTTCAAAAGATCTAGCACTGGGTGAAGAGGTAGGCTGCCAGAACAATTTTTGTGAGAAAATATCCATTAATATATATAATATGAATAAAGCCTATAGAATTAGGTATCACAATATTAACTGCTACCTGTGGGTGTTGAATTTATATATGATTTTTCATTTTGAAAATGACTTGACCCTTTGTAGCTTTCTACAAGACCCCTATATCTGGTAGGCACTTTTCTACATCTGGGTTACAGATGCCCTAAGTAACCTGATTTACTACATGACCAAAATTACTAACAGGGGTTTAGTGAAACTAAGTAATGAGTCAAAAAAAAAAAAAAAAAAAAAGCTTAAAGCAGCAGCAGGTACTTATCTTTTTATTTATTTTATTTTTGAAAGAATGGTTTAAAAAATTTCTAAGAATTTCAGTTAAGACTAGCATTATCTTGGGAAGAGTCACCATCCATTTTGATAAAGCAGCTGCATTTTTTTAGGAGGTGCTAAAGAGTGTTTATTAAAATCTGATTGCAGGCCCTCTCTGGTGGCATGACAGGTTAAAGAGCAGCAGACCTCTCCTGTCCCACCTGCTGCTCCCCTCAGCAGTGTATTTCAGTCAATCTGTCTCCTCTGCTCTCCACTCTGTCTCTTGTTTATCCTCTTATATACATCTTCCATACCTCTGGCCTATAACCAGTCCTTATATAAATAAACCTTTAAAAAAAAAACCTGATTGCATCTAGTTGAGAGTCAAAATAAAGTATTTCACAATGTGGTTTAGATTAAATACTTAATCCACTGTAATCCTAATGCTTATATATATATATAAATATATATATATAAGTTGATATATATATATATATTAACTGCATTGACAGAAATTTCAATTTAGACTGACAACTAGATAAACTAGATACAGAGACTCCCACCTTGCCTTAGGCAGTATAAAGGAGGGAAAAATCTGAAAAAGTCATTTAAAGACTCACCTTGCCAGCAAGATCCCCTGGTATTCTTCCAGTTGTCTCATGAAGCTAGGGTTGGGCTTGGTCACTGTGCGTCTCTCTTTCACGTAGTCATAGGCACGGTCTAGATTCCAGCCATATTCCTTCATTGCATAGGCAATCACAGTAGAAGCTGAGCGACTCACCCCCATTTTGCAGTGCACAAGGCATTTAGATCCATGTTTCCTAGTTTGGGGGGATGAGATATTGGGGAAAACATAATACCAAGTATATTTGGTGGTGTAGGGGTTAAAGTCTCAGCACTATCAAGCTACTGGTAGTGTAAGTTCAATCCCTGGCCAGGGAGGTGACCCACATGGCTCAGCAGACCTCTCCTGTTCCACCTGCTGCTCCCCTCAGCAGTGTACTTTATCAGTCTGCCTGTTCTGCTCCCCACTCTGTCTCTGGTGAATCCTCTTATTCCCCACCCCTCTGGCCTGTACCCCAGTTCTTGTATAAATAAATAAATAACAAAACAATACAAAATCTAGGTTCTCAATGTTTCCAAGTCTCTTGTCCTGTTCCCTTTAATTTTCTTGGTATGCAATCCATCCCACCTTAGTATATTTGGACATATTTTGAAGGAGGATATTCTTGCCCTCTGAGGGTGATAAGCAATTTCAGAGTAATATTTAACAATACTCAGTGTTAATAATATTAGATCTCATTAACTCACTCAGTAGACATTTACCACATGAAAATGTCATGTGTCATACAGTTGGTTACCATGTGTGGAGGGAGCATTTTCAATTGAGAGCCTTGCCTCCATTTTGTATATGGCTGGAGGTCTATCCCCATTAGCCCTGGGGCATGTTTCATGGTCTGCTCACTCCTGAGTTACAGGTGTGGCAGTGACTCATCCAGTTTAGTCAAATGTTCTGAGTTGCTTCGAGTTCAAGTTGCAGTAAGGGTCTGTCCCTGGAGGACAGCACAAACCAGATGAAAACAACTCTCCACTCCTCTCTTTATTCAGGTGTAGCCTTGGATAATACTTTCACATCACCAGTGTACCAGTGGAGGGCTACACAACTGGAGAAGAGGGATGGGACTATGAACTGCACTAGAGGCATTCTTAGTGAGGAGATAGAACACCTACCTGTTTTTTTTAAAGATGTATGTATTTATGCATACATAAGTGGGGTATAAGTCAGAGATACAGGGGCAGCGAGAGGATTCATCAGAGACAGAGTGGGCAGCAGAAGAGGCAGACTGACAAAGTACACTGCTGAGGAGTACAGCAGGTGGGTCAGGAGAGGTCTGCCTCGCCATGTGGATCACCCTTGGGTGGGGTTGCAGCTTGCTTGCAGTGCTGTGTCCTTACCCATTGTGCCACCAGAGAGGGTTCCCCTATCTGTTTTCTTGTTTTTAAATAGGGTGAGTGACACAACAAAGCTTCCATAAAATAATATTAACCCCATCCACCAAGTGCCAGCCTTAACGTGTAGAGTTTATTACCTTGCATACAAACATTATTCGGTTATACTAATTCTGCTAATAACAACAGTGTTTGACACAGAGTAAGTTTTCACATGTTTGCTAAATGTGAACAAACTTAAAAGGATCTGCTGATTAAAATTTTATAAGTAGGTGCATTCTAATATCTGGAAAAAAGAATGGTCATTCATCACTAGCGTATATGGGTTGGAATCTTTCTCAAGTGGCTATTTTGATTAAAAAAAAAATACACATTTTCCCAACAGGGGAAATCTACAAACCCAGTCACTCACTGTACCACAGTAGTCACGTTTACTTACAGAACTTTACAATCCTTTTGCTGAAGATAGACCTAAGAAAGAATTAAGTACTAATGCAAGGATGCATGAGGTCAAGTACCAAAACCAGTGAAATGCAGAAAATGGTTTGGAATAACTGAAACAGTTTCAAAAGGAAGGTAAGCTTAATTTGTCAATTAGATACAAAATTTTGGTGTCCTAATGTTCATGTGGATGTGTCTTTGTGTGCTTAAATTATCCAAATGACAGGAAGTAATTGCTTTTTTTTTATAGTATCATAGGGTTTTTCATTTAGACTACACTTGGGGAGCCAATATAGTGACTCAGATGGAAGTTCAGATGTGTGCTCTGTATTGTCTCACCAAACTGACAACTTTAACCTCATGTTTTAGGTCTATGTCTACAGGCATGAAGGCATTGCTCAAACTTCAACAATCCTAAGAAAAATACAATCATAAAATCCACTCCCACAAAACATTTCTTCAGTTTGAACTGGGATTTTTCAGTGAATGGTTTCTAACTCAGGCAATGACAGATCTTAAGTCAGCCTCAGTTAATCTAATTTCACCTTCCAGTATCGGCACTGTCCTCCTGTGCTGATTAATCCAGATTAAGCCTAACATCGCATTAGAACCTGCGGTTCCCAGGGTGCCATTTAAGAAGGTACTCACTTTCATATACTTGCAGGAAAGTGAGTGCCTGCTTAA